CGCCTCGGCTGCTGCCACCGACACCTCCACCCCCGCCACCACTCCCACCGCCACCCCCACTCCCTCCGCCGCCTCCACCGCCACCTCCACCACCCCCGCCACCTCCACCCGCGCCCTTGCCGCCTTTGCCCTTGCCAGAGCGGCGTCTCCCGCTAGGGGCAGACGCCGCACCGACCGACTCAAGACCAACGAGGTCGGCCGCAGCAGCAGAGGCGACAGAGGGCAACAGGGGGGAAGGGGAACACCCCTCAAAGATGGGGGTGCGAGGGTCACCACGAGAGGCTCCTACAGCGACTATGCTCTTCTTTGCTGCTAGGAGGGCCTTCTCTAGGAGGTCAACAATGAGAGTGGTGGGACAGACTGAGAGAAAGTGGTCCCTGACTACGCGAAGGGAGTCAGGGAGGCGGGTGACTATATAATAGAGAGTGATGTACATGGGGGGGGGGGTTCTTGGCGCAGAACTCAGCAGGAAGCGCGGCGCGGTAGTGAGTGTCACTAGTGCGGAGGTGCGTAATGAGGTCAGCGACTGTGGGAAAGGCAGCAAGGTCAGGAAAGAGGTACGGTAGCATGAGGCGGCTCAGTGCAGCAGTGGCAGGGGAAGAGTAGCGTGCAACTACAGCGTCGTACAAGGTCTGAGCACTCTTGTACTGACTAAAGTGCGCGCACTCAGTGGTAGGCAGGTGGCGACGCACAGCAAGACGTGCAGCAGCATCGCGAGTGGCCCACTGTGAGCAAACAGTGGCGTCGGCATCGGCAGCAGGGGCAGGGGAAGCACCAGAGGTGAGGTCAAAGAGGGAGAGACCGTCTGCCCTATCGCACTGTAGGAAAAGCTGCAGGTCATCTACCCAAACCTCAAAGTCAATGGCTCGACCCTCAGCGTCAAAAGCGAGAACACTGGGGGTAGCCATGACAACGGTAGACTAGCAGTACCAACTGTAGGACAGGGGCAGTGCAATGACAGAAGCGCTGCTCTCACCAGACAGGGCGGGTCGGGCAGCTCAGCAGTACAGCAGCACGGCTACATGGCTGCTCGGACGGCACAGCAGCAACAGCGGCTCCGTGGCACCAGCAGCCCGGCTCCTCTGGCGGCTCGGGCGGCTCAGGCGGCTCGGGTGGCTCGGGCGGCTCGGGCGGCTCGGGTGGCTCGGGCTGGTCGGGCGGCTCGGGTGGCTCGGGAGAGTCGGGCGGCTCGGGCGGCTCGGGCAGGTCGGGCGGCTCGGGCGGCTCGGGCGGTTCGGGCGGCTCGGGCGGCGCGGGCGGTGTAGGGCGGCAGGGCCGCTGGTGAAAGGGGCGGCGGGGCCGCAGTAAAGGGGCGGCAGGGCCGCAGGTAAAGGGCGGCGGGGCCGCTGAGAAGGGCGGCGGGGGCCTCTGAGTAGGGCGGCGGGGCCGCTGAGAAGGGCGGCGGGGCCGCAGTAGAAGGGCGGCGGGGCCGCTGAGAAGGGCGGCGGGGCCCCTGAGTAGGGCGGCGGAGTCGCTGAGAAGGGCGGCGGGGCCGTAGTAGAAGGGCGGCGGGGCCGCAGCGAGAGAGGCGGCGGGGCCGCAGTGAAGGGCGGCGGGGCCGCTGAGTAGGGCGGCGTGGCCGCAGCGAGAGAGGCGGCGGGCCGCAGTGAAGGGCGGCGGGGCCGCTGAGTAGGGCGGCGGGGCCGCAGCGAGAGAAGGGGCGGGGCCGCAGTGAAGGGCGGCGGGGCCGCTGAGACGGGCGGCGGGGCCGCTGAGACGGGTGGCGGGGCCGCTGAGACGGGCGGCGGGGCCGCAGCGAAGGGCGGCGGGGCCGCAACGTGAGGCAGCGGGGCCGCAGCGAAGGGCGGCGAGGCCGCGAAGAAGGGCGGCGGGGCCGCAGCGAGGGGCGGCGCGGCCGCAGCGAAGGGCGGCAGGGCCGCGAAGAAGGGCGGCGGGGCCGCAACGTGGGGCGGCGGGGCCGCAGCGAAGGGTGGCGGGGCCGCTGAGAAGGGCGGCGGGGCCGCTGAGAAGGGCGGCTCGAAGAGGTGAGAGCCCGGAGCGCGACTCGGGCTGAGCGCGCTTCGGGCAGGAAAAAAAAGATCGATGTGGTGGGCCCTAGGCACAGTTCCCACAGGGGAACCTGCTCGATACCATGAGGAAAGTAGAACGAGAATGATTGACTAAGGAATGGAAGTGATACAAATATGCAACCCTAGAAATGTGTACCCCATATGGGCTACCCCACTATAGCCTTCACAATAATATAATTTGACAGTGTTGTATCACCCGAACTATTCGCAACGATTTCAAGCTGGGTCCGCCTTCACTATTTTATATTTTGGTTTTAAAATACACATTACGGCATATTACCTTTCGCTACAAATTTGTGTGGAGATTACTGTGCACAGCAGAGCCCAAAATATCAGGGTAAAACGCCCTGATTACCCTGGGGGCAGGCCGCTTTTTCAGGATTACCCTACCAAAATCAGGATTCCACGAAAGTTACCCTTTTGCAAAAAGAGCATGTTTTTTTTTACCTTGATAGGATTTATGGTTAGCCTGACAGTATCAAGGTAGGGTGTAGACTACCCTGATACCGAAACATTTTTACCGCGGATCATGCCATACTCCGCTTGGTGACGAATCGTACCACACCCACACAAACAAGTGTTGTCGCTTCTTACCACTGGCATAAAACCAAGAGTCGTTGTCGGCGACACGCCATGTCGCCTCATTGGTTGTTTCACCCAATGAGGCGACACCGAGTTTGTAGAAGAAGTAGTAGGCAGTGGGGGTGGCACTGAGTAGGTGTATTGTGAATGTGATGCTCTTCCAAAGCTCATGGACTTTGTGAGTGCTACTTTATTATGTCATTGTAAATAGCTTAGCTCACAACATAGTAACTGAAACAGGGTTGGCCTAAAACTACCCCGCTCAAATCAGGCTACTGGTTGATTTATCCTGCTGCAAACAGGGTACGAAAAAAATTACCCTAGGGGTCGGGGTAAGGAGGGGCCGGTACCCTGATTTGTAAGGGTAGGCCTAAACCAATTTTGGGCCCTGATGCATAGTAGATAAAGATCTTAGCACTAGATCACACATATTTGCCAAACCAGTAAAACAATCTCCAAATCAGCAACCACAGAAATTCAATTCTCGCACGGTTACACTGAGCTGTCCAGACAACTGGTGAGTTTGGACGATACGTCAGCAGTGGACCAGTGCCCTAGAAATCAGACTTTAAAGCATGAGTCAGAGTGCGTTCAGACTTTTTTTTTGTACCTAGTCTGAAGTCTAAGAATTTTTTTATGTACCTTGTCTGATTTTTCAGAGGTTTTTTTTATGAGTTGTCTGAAATTTCACCCTAATTTTTTAAGTGTAGGTTGAGCCTCAGACTTGTATCGGGGGTACACTCTGCGCGCTTATAGAAGCGAAGTTTCCTGGAAGTTTCTTTTCAATATGCCCACTTCCGAGATGGCAGTGGAGTGCCAGGACGTGCGCAACGTACACTTCAACAGCTGGGACATCCGAATACACTCGTTCGTCGAGAATGTCTTCCAGTTTCGCTGAGGAAATGGTTGCGTGATTACGAGATTTTTAAGACAAAACATCGTCACAAGTAAGTTATTGTCAGAATCCCAACCACTAGACCATTGGGATAAAAGGACTTGTTAAGTAGCGGGTCAGCGCGTCCATAATCCCCCAGGCCAACATGCCTGTAACCCTTCCCTAGGATCAATCGGGGATCACCAGTGGACCTCTGACAGTTATCGCTAATGTATTGTAAAGAATAAGAGACTTTGATGCTGATTCGCTGTAAAACCATCTGCAGCACGCACTCCTGTGAAATTGCGAAGGTCCTGATTCGTAGTGAAAGTTTCGTGTAGCACTACCTGATGCTCACACGCCACGCCAAGCAACAGTTTCTGCTTGCTGACAGCTCAGCTGCGTGGCACCTGGCCCACCTGATACAGATCGGGTGAACGATCGCATCGCTAGAAATGCAAATCCAAAATTGACAAAATTGGCACACAGGCAAGAAAATGGGTACAGAATGGTAATCACACACACGACAAAACGAAATGAGATCAGCAGAAACAACCATGCGCAGCACGTGACAAAAACACCAGAACGCCGCCGACATGAGCAGTGGCGATGCACGAGCACGTTGCCTGATGTGTTGGTAGGTTGTAATCAGCTTCAATGCTATTATAACTATGCTGTTATGAAACTGCATGAACATATTAAAATCTGAAGCAACTCTGACAACTCAGACAAAAAAAGTTGTGCTTGTCTGAATTTTTAGACTAAAAAAAATAGGTAACTCTGACAGCCAGACTAGGAAGAGGGGTGTACTCTGAGGCGTCAGACTGCCTCAAAACGAATCTAGGGGCCTGCAGTGGACATGTTGGTCTGGCTTGTCAATCTGGACATGAATTTAGATCATTTTGTGCCAGACGTGCAAATGTAACGCCAACTTGTCAAAACATAACTAGTGCACGTTCAAATGGTTTAAGGCTTTTAGTGTTATATTTCGCACCTGAAACATCATTGGTGGACAAGGGCAGTTGCATAGTCATCGTGAAATTCGCAGGGCTTATGTTTCCCACAGTCCAGCATGTCTTCTTCACGCGTCATTCAGCCCACAGTCCAGCATGTCTTCTTCACGCGTCATTCAGCCCACAGTCCAGCATGTCTTCTTCACGCGTCATTCAGCCCACAGTCCAGCATGTCTTCTTCACGCGTCATTCAGCCCGGATGGTGTCAGGACACCCTTGGGAACACTCGTATTCTGGCTCATGGGGAGAAGCGGCTCGAGAGGGGACTGCGAGGGACGATTCTTGAGACGCCTCAAGAATGCGTCGGACTGAGCTTGGGCTGGACTTGTTTAAGAGAGGGGGCTTATAGCCTCGGCCTATTAGTCTGGGGAGAAGGGGTGATGAGGCGAGCGAGGGACTGCGGGGGACGAGGGATGTCGGGGGGAGTGAGATGGGAGGAGGGGCCGAGGGACCAGAGGGCGTGGATGGGCACGGGAGGGGGTGTTTGAGGCGTCTAGAAAATCATAACTTGGGCTTGTTTGTTCGGACTGAGGGGGTGATGAGGCGAGAGAGAGACGGTGGGGGACGAGGGATGTCGGGAGGAGTGAGATGGGAGGAGGGGGCGAGGGACCAGAGGGCGTGGATGGCAGGGGAGGGGGTGTTGAGGGGGAGGAGGAAGCGAGAGAGAAGGGGATGGACGACGGAGGCCCATGCAGGGGAGAATGGAGGAGGAGGAGGGGACTGAGGGGGTTGGGAGGTGTGGTGGGCGGAATGGTGGGAAGAGTAGTGGGAGGAGTGGAGGGAGGAGTGGAGGGAGGAGTGGAAGGAAGAGTGGAGGGATGAAGCGAAGTGGAAGATGGGGCGGAGGAGGGAAAGAGGGATGGAGAAGTTGAGGTGCGGAAGGATGGTGCCGTGTCGGTTGTGCTTTGCATTGCTGGTGGGGGGAAAGGGGTTGAAGGGCATAGAAGGGCGTTGTAAGGGGTTGAAGGACATAGAACGGCGTTGAAAGGGATGGAGAAGTTGAGGTGAGGGAGGGTGTTGAATTGAATTGGTGGTTGTGCTTTGCATTGCTGGTGGTAGGGGAGAAAGGGGTTAGGAGGTGAAGGGTGGTGAGGGGGGTTGGGAGAGGGAAGTGGGCCAACAGGGGTTTTGAGACGTCTCAAAACACTTTTATTATCACAGGGGCAGGACAGGACGAAGGATAAAGTAACATGGTAACATTGCACTGCGTGTACCTACCTCGTGTGATGAGGCGATTTTTGAGTCGACTCAAAAATCCGCGTGTGATGAGGCGACTCAAAAATCGTAAGATGGTAACATTGCACGGCGTGTACCTGCTGGCTTTTGAGAATTCTAAAAAAGCACTGCGTGTACCTACCTCATCACACCGTGACAATGTTACCTCATAACATGTGCTTCTGTCATAACATCGCAACATGGTTACTTTAAAACAAACGCACCTGGCAAGTAACCATCTCACCTTGTAACCAGCTCACCTTGTCACAAGTGCAATCATCTCCCCCTGTGCGTTCACCACCGCGCCTCCACTCGCCCCGGCATGCACTGCTGCAGTCGTCAGCACCATCGCTGCCACCCTCCCCCCTCTCTGCCCTCCTTTGCTCCTGTGCGCCTGCTCCCCTCTTCGCTCCACTGTACTTTGACACGTCTCTACCTGTTGCCGCCCGCCGTTCAACCAATCAGATGCGCTAGTGCTGCTGCTCTTGGTATCAAATCCCTGCTCTTGCTGCTGCTCGTGCTCTTGGTCAACGGTGACGACTCGAGAGACAATACCTGAGAAGACTGATGGGGGAGTGGCTGGAAGGGAGGGGATGAAAGGCAGAGGGGGCGCGTGGGAGGTCGGGTGAGGGTGGGGGGGGGGAGAGGCGGAGATGTAAAGCGATAGAAGGGAAAGCCGAATGAGGTTTGAAAGCGGTGATGCTACCGGGGAGAACTAGCAAGAAGAAAGGCATGTCTGTTGAAGGTAATCGTGAAGACATTCTGTCTGTTGCATGAGGTGACTTTTGAGTCGACTCAAAAGTCACCTTGCTACCAGGGAATGCAACAAGGCAGAGATGTGCCTTTTGAGTCGACTCAAAAGTCACCAGGTAATCGTGAAGTCATTCTGTCTGTTGCATGTAACAAGAGCGGGGGGGGAGACAGCATAGCCAACAGCCAATGACAAGGGCTGTGGACCCCCACTCGTGTCGCATGAGGCTTGAGTCGTTTGAGCAGTTTTGAGACGGCTCAGAACCGGCTACAACTCTGCAAGGTCGGTGTTATCAGAACAAGAGTGCTGAAGAAAGAGGAGGAATTGGTACACGTACCGAGGGCGGGAGGGAACACAGCATAGCCGATGACGACAGCTGTGGACCCACATTCCAGCTCCGAGGCTCTCGGACGAATGGGGCAGACAGCCAGACTGCTGCTGCTGCTTCTGTGTTGCTGCTGACCCACTTGTCCTGCATGTGCTGGCTGCGCTGTGGTCTTATGTTGGTGGGTTTGTCCAGGGTGTTGCACACGACTGCATGGTGCAGGTGGCATCTGGTGGGACGGACGAATGGGGCGGACAGCCAGACTGCTGCTGCTGCTGTGTTGCTGTTGTTGACCCGCTTCTCCTGCATCTGCTGGCTGCACTGTGGTCGTATGTTGGTGCGTTTGTGTGGGCTCTACGTGATTGGAGGTTGCAGGCGGTATGTGGTCTAGAGGTGCGGGTGGCATCTGGTGCAGGTGCTGCCTGTTATCTAGAGGTTCAGGTCCAAGTGCAGGTGCGGGTGGCATCTGGTGCAGGTGCTGTCTGTTATCCAGAGGTTCAGGTCCAAGTGCAGGTGCGGGTGGCATCTGGTGCAGGTGCAGCAGGGCAACATCAAGCGAGCCAGAGCACACATAGATGATGCCTGCTCGCACCCATGCTGCTGCTGGTGGGGAGGAAGATGAGGTGGAAGAGGCAAGGGAGGAGCGTGGTGAGGAGGAGGGTGTAGTGGACGGGGGAAGGTGGGAGAAGCATGGGACTCGAACCCAGATGTCGTGAGCAGGGGGCGTGGAGAGGAGGTCAAGAGAAGGGGAGGAGAAAGGGGACGAGGAGGCGGAAGAGGCGGAGGAGGCGGAGGAGGAGGGAGAAGATGAGAAGGATGAGAGTGAGGGAGGAGAGGAGGGGGACGGGGAAGAGGAGGAGCTGGAAGAGCCTTCGTGGTGGAAGAGTGGGCTGGGTGGGAGGGCATGCTGCTGCTTGAGCAAGGGAGTGAGGATGTGAGCGTTGGTGAGTATGAGGCCTGAAGGGGATATGATCACCCCAGAGCCCCACACTGTCCCTCCCACCACTATGCCTACAACGGATGGCAGTGCTGCTGCCACTGCTCTCACCACACCTCCTCCTGCCCCTTCTCCTGCCCCTCCTCTTCCTGCTCCCATACCTTCTCTTCCTGCTCCTAGTCCTACCCCTGCCGCTCCTGCAAGGGATGGCCGTGTGTCTGGTACGGCAGCTGCTGCAAGGGAGCGCTGGCAATCGCTGGCAGCTGCTGCAAGGGAGCGCTGTACTTGTGTATTCAGTGGGAGCATTTCACCGGTGCTGCGAGCAATTAAAGCTGTGTCTACTGCTCGGCATGATGTAGCATCAATCTTATCAAACGGTAAATCGTTCATCTTTCTCAAAAATATATCATCTGATGCAGGAACTGGCTCTTGAGAATTCTCAGGAACTGTTTTGAGACGTCTCAAAGCAGGAACTAGGGACCTGTGTGGTTTTTGAGTCGACTCAACAATCGACTTATCACACAAAACAGGAACTTGAACCGGCAGAAGAACTAGGGACCTGTGTGGTTTGGGTTGGGCAGTTGTGGATTCGTGGGTGTGTGATGACGTGTCAGACACTGATTGGATGGCAGATGCCATTGATGAGATGGAAGCAGCAACCTGAAGAGAGGGAGGTGAGGGAGAAGAGCGGATGAGCAAATAGGGTCGAGTGGGGAAAACAGGGTAATATAATTTGCAGAAAGCGTATACTTTGCAGAAAACAAGGTAATTTTGCTTTAAGTTCTGCGTGGTGGGAACAGATAGATAGATAGATAGTGTTTTGAGGCGTCTCATAACACGGCTGGTGGGAACAGATAGATAGATAGTCCAAAGCAGGTGGGATATACAGCCTGTGGTTCCGCAGAATAGTACATGGCTTGTGGCTAGGGGAAAAGATGTAATAAAATTGATGCATCCCATGGAGTGTGATGTGATATGACTAACCGGGATGGTCACGGTGGCTGATGGCATGAGAGGATGGTGCATGGTCACAGGTGGCAGCAGCATGGCCTTGATGCATCCCATGGCATCTAACACTGGCGCCCCTTCCATGCCTGTGAAGCGATGCCACGCCATGCCATGCCATGTGATGACATTCCATACATACAAATCATACCATGCCATGCATGCCATGCCATGCCATACCAAACATACAGATCGTACCATGCCATGTCATAACAGGCAATATCATGCGATGCCAATGCCATGTCACCAGGAAGCAAAGGTGCGGAAAACCTGACGAGAAATAGGGATGAGCATGAGGCCGGGCTAGGGCCCGCCCGGGTCGGGCCCGCCCGGAAATGCCCCAGGCCGGGCATCATAATTTCGACGTGGGCCCGGAGCGGGCCGGGCCGGGCCGGCCCGGCGGGCCGCAGCCGCCCGATTTTGGCCCGCCTATGTACAGGCCGGGCCGGGCCGGGCCGCATCGAAACGCAAAAATACAACAGAACAGCCCAAAAATACAGAAATTATAACAGCACCCGGGCCGGGCCGGGCCATGCAGAGCCCGGGTTGGGCCGGGCACGGCCCACCCGCCTTAAGGGCGGGCTCGGGCCAAGAGTTTCCTTCTACGGCCCGGGTCGGGCCGGGCCGGGCCGGCCCGCTTTTTTGCGCAGCCCGGGGTGGGCCCGACCCGGGCCGGGCCCGGCCGCCCGGTGCTCAACCCTAACGAGAAACATGATGGTTGCTGATTTTTTTATTTTTTTTTAGGCGCCTCGAAAGAAAATATAAGAGAATTCATAATAACCTCAGCAAATAAAGGTACTTGCAACAACCTCAGCAAATAACGGCACATGGTATCTGACCAGATTTCGCCTTTTGCTTCCTGACTGCTTAAGCCTTCTGACAGGTTAAGACTCACCAGATCATATCAGATTTCATCCCATCTTATCTCCCCTGGTCACTACCTGGCAAAAAGGGGAGGTCGAGGGCTAGGATCCCCCCAGGCAGAACTGCTGAGAGCACTCCGGATGACAGACTGATAGATGGGCAGTGAAGGGGGAAGGAGCGGTGCGGAGGAATTAAGGAAGGAGAAAAGTGAGTGCAGGGAGAGAGGGAGAGACACAGGTTGAGGTCTAGGATCCCCCCAGGCTGAGAGCACTCTGGATGACAGGCTGACAGATGGGCAGTGAATGAAAGGGGAGGGGAGGGGAGGGGATGAGAAGGAGGAAGGGGCGAGAAGGAGGAAGGGAATGAGTGAGCACGTTGAAAGACTGAACAGGTTCAAGAGTTCTGGCCTACACTGTAACACAACAAACTAAATATTTCAGATTTTGTTGGTTGCAACGGAATGTGGTGTCGCATACCCCTCACTGTGTACTTCTCATAAACATCACCAATACACCCCTGATAAGAATCACCTGCGTACCCCTTATAAGCATCACCTGTTGGCGAACAGGGTCGGTGCAAGCACTCCAAATGGTGAACCAAGCAACAAGACAGGACTGCCAGGTGTCAATGTGTCATTGGCGGAGGAGGTTGATGGGGAGCTGACCTGGCAGTGCGTGCGTGACATGTGGGGGAATTAGGTGGGATAGGAAAGGAGCACATGTGTTCATCACATCAAATGGAGAAGCAAATAGATCCTTCTCCTTCCACAAGGAGAAGCAAATGGAGCCTCTGATGCTGCGGATACCAGCGTATGAGGCTGATAAATGGACTTGTTTTCCAAATGAGAAGGCATGACGCTGGTATCCACGGATGGCGGTGGTTGGAATCACTTTTGAGAATTTACAAAAGTGATCTCACATAGTACAGTATGGCACGGAAACGAAATCTGAAACGTTTTTATAACATGACGGGGCAAGATCAATGGCACGGTACAATGGCATGGTACAATGGCAAGGAACAGAGGGGCTGGGCAGGCAGCAAAGGTTGGCAGCCATTTTCCCGTGCCTCGGTTGCAGCGTTCCTCCACTTTGACTCATGTGAGGCTCCACGGTCCCATACCTTCAGTTCATGCCTCAGCCTCATCTGCTCCTGAAGCATGCACCGCAATGCCTCTGACGCTGCTGCTGCCGCTGGTACTGCCCTTGCCCAAGCCCCAGCTCCTGCTCCTGCCGCTGCCCCTGCCCTTGCCCCTGCCCCTGCCCCTGCAGCTGCTACTGTCGCTCCTGGTGATGGTGGTTGGATGAGGCTCACACGCAGCACTGCTATCTCGAGAGCATTCGGTGTTGATTCTGCTGCTTGTGGTGATGGTGGTGGCTGTGGTGCATGGGAGGAAGAGGAGGAGGAGAGTGAGGCGGAGGGGAGTGAGGCGGAGGGGATTGAGGAGGAGGAGGGGGGAACGGAGAGGAGGGTGGGCGGGGAGGGTGTGTTAGCGGGCTGGAGAGACGCTAAGGACGAGGTGATGGCTGGAATATTCACCTGGGAAGACACAAGGAGCGAGGTGGCCAACGGGATTTGGGATGAGGAATAGGGGAGTGAAGGGGAGGGGAAGGGAGGGGGGAGAGGGAGGGGAGAATGAGTGGGGAGAAGGTGTTAGCGGACTGGAGAGACGCTAAGGATTTTTTAGGCGCCTCAAAAATCGCCTCAAAAATCTTGAGGCGCCTCAAAGAAGGTGTTAGCAGACTGGAGAGACGCTAAGGACGAGGAGACGGCTGGAAGATTCACCTGGGAAGACACAAAGAGCATGGGAGGGGGACGGAAATGAGGAGGGGGTAAGACGAAGGGAATGGATGGAGAGAGTGGGGGTCAATAGACCGGAGGAACTTCTAGTTGGCTCAAAGGCAGTGGATACTTATTGGATACTTATTGGATACTTCTTGGATACTTATTGGATACTTCCACCTGGGTTCCGGGAATAAATGTGCTGACCGGACCACACTAATAGCTTCTTCCACCTTCATGCACATCTCACATCTTCCAACCGCTTCTCACATCTTCCAACCGCTTCTCACATCTTCCAACCGCTTCTCACATCTTCCAACCGCTTCTCACATCTTCCAACCGCTTCTCACATCTTCCAACCGCTTCTCACATCTTCCAACCGCTTCTCACATCTTCCAACCGCTTCTCACATCTTCCAACCGCTTCTCACATCTTCTCCTCACATCTTCTCTGGTAAGGCAGAGGCAGGCACTCACAAAGCAGAGCAGCTCCGCTGGAAGAGAGAAGGGTTGCGAAGGCCCTTGTAGGGATGGCGACTGGCGAGAGGGAGTGATGGAAAGGAGGGTTAGTAGGTGTGCATGAAGATTATTCTTGAGGTGCCTAAACAATGGTGTGCTATTGGAGACACAATGGTAATGGGGCACGGAACAGGTGCGAGAGGGGACAGAGGGACAATGGAGCATTTGGAGAAGAGTCATGATAGCAGCACAACAGGGCTTTTGGAATTTCAAAAGCAAGCGGCCCCAACATAGATGAACGCGCACGCCGTCTGTGCTGGACTGACTGCAGTAGCGGCAGGCAGCTCAATGCTAATAAGGTACTAGCGTTTACTAATACCTCAAAGGTAATATTGATGCGCGTGCCAGGAAGCAGAGGGGGAGCAGAAGGGTTTCGCTGCTGATGCTGCTGCGTCTGCTGCTGCTGAAAGGGCCAGCGTTGCTGTGCTGATTGGTATTTGAAAGCCTGCTGCTGCTGCAAAGTGTGGTAGTTGGACGGTTGTTGCTGCTGCATGACAAAGGATCGAACAATCCGACCAGGCACAAGTACCGTAACCTCCTCCTCATTCCACCCGCACCTGCTACCCTCCTCCCGATCCCACCCACTCATTTTACCCTCCTCCCCTTCTCCCATCGCTCCCTTTTCCGCCATCATTTCCCCATGCCTATCCCACCCGGACCTGCCATTGCTCTCTGCCCCTGCCACCAGTCCCCCTGCCCCCACCACATGGCCATCCAGCTGGGTTCCTAGATCAGACAGTCGCCCCGGCCCCGGCAGCACGATACCACTCGCTGACACGGCTGTTGTTCCATTGCTGGTTGCGGAGTGGTGGGTGGGGATGGGAGGGGGAGTACGGAAAGAAGGGAAGGTTCTTGAGGAACCTCACAACAGCTGCCCTGGCAGGCAGCACGATACTAGAGGCTAGCACAGCGGTTGTTCCCTTGCTGGTTGTGAAGGTGGTGGGGATGGGAGGGAGGGTGGGGGGAAGTAAAGGTATTGGAGGCGCCTGAGAAGAAATCAGGTGCCCAGGCAGCACAGACCAAGCTTGTTCAGAAAAATAAATCAAAAATCAACTGTAAACAAAAAACTCAACAGTGCCCGCCCAGGCAACACAGCCTTATTGGAGTCACTTTTGATCTTACGCACAAGTGACAACAGTGCCCAGGCAACACAGCCTTATTGGAGTCATTTTTTATCTTACGCACAAGTGACAACAGTGCCCAGGCAGCACAGCTGAAGATGTTGACACGGCTGTTGCAGCGTTGATGGTTTCACAAGGTGGGGGGAAGGGAAGAGGGGAAGGGGCCAACTGGCGTAAGTAAGAGGTTAGGAAGAAGGGTAACCGGGACGGGTGTGGGCAGGTAAAAGAGTACGGTGGAAAGAGGTTGGGAGGGTAGGAGCATGAGGTGGGGGGGAGGAGGGAGGGGATACCAAGGACGAATGGTGTGAGAAGAAAAAATCACACCTCCCATCTCTCCCCCCTTTTCTCCCCCACAAATCCCCGTTCCCCCTCGCAGCCACCCAGATGTTTGCCCAGCCTGCTTGTTACCTGGACTTGAGTCGACTCAAAAACAGGCCCAGCCTGCTTGTTACCTGGACTATATTGAAATCACTTTTGAGAATTCTCAAAAGTGATTTCAATATCGCAGGCACCCAGATGTTTGCCCAGTCTGCTTGTTACCTGGACTGGAAAAAGTCGAACCGCAGCAGCTTACGGCCCTTGGGATCCTGCAGTCAACAAAAGTCAACGACAGTGAAGGGGATTCAACGGTATTCAACGGAAAATTGTGCCAACAGAAAAGGGAGAAGCGCCGAATGACGTCGTTCAGAGACTTGCGGGCCCCTGCACGCGAAAGAGGCGACTCTGAGTGACTCATAAATCACTCTGTTTCGTGAACGCGCAGGGGGACGCGATGAAACGACACAATCAGGGACTTGCGGGCCCCTGCACGCGAAATAGGCGACTTCTAAGTCGACTCATAAATCACTCGCAGGGGGAGTCGACTTCTAAGTTGTTAGAAAAAATCACACCTCCCATCTCTCCCCCCTTCTAAGTTGCTTCTAAACGCGCAGGGGGAGGCGATGAAACAACACAATCAGGGACTTACGGGCCCCTGCACTCGAACGAGGCACCCCGAAGATTTCGCCAGCCGCACTACTCTGTCGTCCATGGCTCCGGCTCTCTCGAGGTATTCTACCAGCCAATGAGTCGATGTTTGAACGATTTCTGTACAGGAATTCAAGTACCAGTTAGATACTAGCTATGACGTGAAAAACTGCGTCAGATTCGCCGCTCTCGATCAGTCCAGCCGTGGCTTCATCATCGCTCCTTCGCTTGCCCACGTTCCTCCTCTCGCCGCTTCCCTTGCTATCCGACGCTGTCTGCTTTTTGGGCAAACTTATCAAGGGCGTGTCGGGAGTAAGAGAACAAGTCGACACGCGCGGAGGTCACGGAGAGTTACGGTGCATTCAATGCGCGTGTTCTGTGCGTGCAACCTCTCCTCTCCTATCCTCAGTAGCCTAATTAGTCTCGAGCGCCCAACAGACACCAGTCATCATGTCAACATAGCCTGGTGTTTGTACCCGATAAAGGTAGGGAATCTATTTGAATTAAACAGTCGAGAAGTAGCTGCACCATCTTATTCATGTTGCATATGATCTTTTCTTCAATGAAAAGTAATATTTGCCCAAAAGAAGGCATATGCATGGGTTTTCGGTAAACGGAGGTTTTGAACGCTGCAGTTCGGTTCCTCTGCCGCAGCAGACAGCCTGGCCGTCTGTCGTGACTTGGTGGTCCAGCTCCAGCACCACCGCCCACCACACAAGCAAGAGCACCAGCTCACCAGTGGTGCACTTGTCGTTACAGAGCATCGCCAGTTGGCTGGCTGGTTTGAGAAGGGCGAGCACTGACCGTCCGATGGTCGTTAGGTTGTCCACGTTATCGCGGCTGAGTGGACGGTCGGTTCGATTGCCAGCGAATCTGTCGCAATTGACGCTCGACCGTTGGATGGGAGAATTGACACGCGGACCGCGGTAGACTGTGCAGAGCAGCACGCGTGGCAAAACGGCATCAACTCGACCCATAGCACAGCAGGGCCTGAGGCAAAAAGTTCAACAACATTTGTTCCGTACGCTGACTGGATTGGATGAGCCCTCCCTTCGTTCGAGTGCTCGTTTGCTTGTGGATTGGTACGACAATCAGTCTCGTGACTCGAGAACTGATCAGGTCGATTTGAAACTGTACAGATTTGACACGTCTCCAGCTTGCTGGAGAGAGTCTCGTCGAGTGGTGTCGTCGTCTCGCTTATTTCTCCTGATACGCGAAGTGAACCGCGAGAAATGGATAGAGCCCACTAGAGTCACCACGAGCACTACAGTACAGTGTAGTGAGGTCGAGTTGAAGCACCGAGTGGACTCTGATGTGACGTGACGACGACAAGGACGGGTTTCGTTTTCGCAGGCCTCGCATATCGCAGCGCGAGCACACAGCAGGTTACAGGTTACACAGTACAACACTACACAGTGCGACACAGAGCAGCTAGTGTAGGTGGTTCCTCCCTGCCTTCCTCCTCTCCACATCACATCACTTCCATTCCATCCATCCCTCCCTCCCCAAACAAAAGCGAGTAGTATTTCCCGTCAGCATGCACCTCCCATCGCAAATAGGTCTACGCAGTAGATGCAGTTTATATGCAACCTTAGATTCGCGTGCGCACACGCAGTTAGCATGTCCTCCCACCATTCACGGCATATCCCATCCACCCTAACCTTTCCCAGTAACACCTGACCAGAAGAATGTACTAGTAATCTACTTAGCAAAACTTCACCTCGTTTTCCAAACATGGGTCGCAACAGTTCGACCACCAGCAGCAGCAGTGCCGGGCATTCTAGCGCTGACCCTAACCCTAACCCTAGCAACGGGCCGCCACGAACCACGGGCCGGCAGGGCCGCCACAAACACAGCTTCAGCATGGACTATTCAACGGCCTCTCCTCTCGCGCTTCCGCCGTCCGGTCCTAAGCCTAGGTCGCAGAACAACAGCCCAGGCGACAATGGCGGCCACCGCGGCGGCGGCGGGAGCAGGCAGTCGCCTCTCTCGGGCGTGACGGCTCACAGTGGCGGCGGAAGCGCGAAGAAGTCTTCCTCGTGGATGCCTCAGATGCCTCAAATGCCGCATCTTAGTCCGCGCTTCCTATGCTCAGCGGGAATGCCGCCGGAACTTCAAAACGGTTATTTCGGCCATTTGGATCTCGGCGACCGCGACGAAGACGACGACGATGACGAAATTCTCGGTGGCCAATTGGGTAACCGATCGCGTAGCGAAGTCCTCTACAGGCGCCCGCTCGTCGCAGACGCCGTCGAGGTCAGCTGCAGCCGCGGCGGCGGCAGCGGCGGGTACTCCCGCGCGAAGACCGAGATCCCGCGGAACGCGCGCGCAAGAGCCGCAGCCGCAGCCGCTGCCACCTCCCGCTCGCCTGCGCCTCGAGGCGGCGGCGGCGGCGCGGCCAGCGCGGGCGCAGCGGCAGGGCTCGATGCGCATCAGCAGGAGGAGGCGGACGCTGATGAGGAGGAGAGCGAGGAGCGGTTCGGCAGAGCTAGCTCCATGCCTGCCTCGATGCACCGGCGGCGAAGATCCCTAGGCGGCGGGTTGGTCTCCCTAGGGTCTGGCGGTCTGACCTCCCTAGGATCCCCTGGCGCGCCTGGCGGGCTGGCTTCGTGCTTGCAGCCTAGATCGTCGGAGATGGACGAAGACACTACAATCCGCTTTACAGAAGGACCCGCCATAAGTTCTAGGTCGAGCTCTGGAAGGATCGGCGGCGGGGTTCTGGATGGATCGCTGACCTCTGGTGATGATGATAGTGGTCGGTTTGATAGTGGTAGGTCCGGTAGTGGCCGGTTTGGTAGTGGTAGGCTTGGGAGTGGTAGGCTTGGTAGTGGTAGGCTCGGCAGTGGTAAGCTCGGTAGTGGTAGGTTTGGTGATGATCGCTTGTCAACCGACTCTTTCTCTGGCCGCGGGGAGAATGTCAAGGGTGGGGCACCGAATCCGAAAGTTCGCCGAAGCTATTCCGGAGCTTCGGACAGCTCAGGTAGGCTCGGTGACAGGCCTGGGGACAGAGTAGGAGAGGCGTATCCGGATGGGCGGGTTGAGAATCTGCTGGAAGAACGTGCCTCAAACAATATCGCGTACAAGGGAAGAGGCTCGCAATCAGGGCCGTTGATGCCCCGCTGGTCACTGCAAATAAACGGCTGCGATCAAGCAGGGTCCGAGCGCACAGAGGAACCTTCCTCTCACCCGCCGCGGAGACCTACAGGTGCAGCAGAGCGGCTCAAGTCCCGCAGTTACATTGGAAGCAGCTTCTCAGGTGGGGGTATGGAATCTATAGCTGCTTCTGCCGCTGCAGCTGCTGCTTCGGCGTCTAGTGTTGAGTCGAGTAGAAAACCAGGTGCTGCTGCACAGAGGCTTAAGTCCAGCAGCTTCATTGGGCGGAGTTTTTCTGGGGGGGGTGTGGAGTCTGCATCTGCTTCTGCTGCTGCTGCGGCGGCGTCTATCCGCGCTGCATTACGGGCGTCCGTGCTTCGAAGCTCGTCAGGAGTGGGGAAAGAGGGGCAGGCGGGAGATGGACAGGGGAGAGAGGGACAGGGGGGACAGGCAGGAGGGGGGCAGAAAGGGAGAAGCGGAGGTTCGGGTCGATGGTTGATTGCAAAGAGCTTCTCAGGAAGCCGTGCTCGCACAGGTGATGCTGCTGCTGATGCTGCTGCTGATGCTGCTGCTGCTGCTGTTGCTGCTGCTGCTGGTAGTGATGCTGCTGCTACTAATGGTGATGTTGAGGCTGCTGACAGTAAGTTTCGGGTGGATGAGTCACGTTCGGCCAGCGTGCGAGGCACGGGTGGGGAGGAGGAGGAGGGATTTGGAGTGTGTGGCAGGGAGAGCAGGGACGGTGGCAGGAGAGAAGGGATGGAGGAAGAGGAGGGATCAGGAGAGTGTGGTGGGGGGAGCATTGACAGTGAGGAGGAGGAGAGTGAGAAAGAGGAGGAAGAGCGGGGAGAGGGGGGAGAAGAGGAAGAGGGGGAAGAGGTGGAAGAGGAGGAGGGCGAGGAAGTAGCTGTAGGGAGAGGGTTGTGGGAAGATTACAACGAGGGTGGAACTCTGAGAGCCGAGATGAGCTTACGAGACAGTGGATGGTCACCGGAGCAAGGGCAGTACGGAGCAGCGGATTGGATGAAGCACCCCAGCAGCAGGTTGATAGCAATGAATCGAGATGAGGTGGACGAGGAAGAGGAGGGAGAGGAGGGAGAGGAGGGTGAAAGAGAGGAGGGTGAAGGAGAGGAAGAGGAAGGAGAGGAGGGAGAGGAGGAGGAGAGGCAGGGCTTCATCCTGAGCAGCGGAGGTGTGGAAATGGAGGGTGCTGGGTGGCGGGAAGGGGGTTTCCAGGAATCTTCCGAGCCAATGCAAGATTCAAAACTAGGTGATACTCCGGATGGAAGCTTCCAGGAAAATGAGAACGACGGAGGAGGGTTTGGGATGGATAGGAGGCTATTGATGGGTGCTCCTTCGCTCAACCCCAATGCAGTGTTTGAAACGCCCCAGCAGCAAAGGGCGCTCATAGGAGCCCCTTCTCTCAACCCTAACGCAGATTTCGAGACTCCTCAGAAAAGGGTTTTGATGGGAGCTCCTTCGCTCAATCCTGATGCAGTTTTTGAGGTGCCCCAGCAGAGGGAGCTTATAGGGGCGCCGTCCCTTAACCCTGACGCGGGCTCACAGGCGTTTTGGGCGAGTTTGAAGGAGGGGAGAGGGGCGGATGTGTGGCATAGGGAGGCGGAGACGATTGCGGAAGAGGGGGATGGGGGAGAGGGAGGGGAAGGGGAAGAGGATGGGGAGGGGGAGGAGGGGGATGGGGCGAGTGGTGTGTTTGATCTGGCGCAAGGGCTGATGATGCAGGGAGAGGGGGGAGGTGTGGAAGAAGGAGGAGGGTTCGGTTTTGATGTGGGGGAGAGGGAGGAGGGAAACTGGGATGGAGGAGCAGCAGGGTACGAGGTTGGTGGCAGCAGGAGTATGGGGCGAGACATGGGTGTTGGTGGTCCGTGGGAGTCAGTGCGAGAAGCAGAGAGGGAAATGGATTCAGTATGCAGCAGCAGCAGCACTGCAATGCTGTTCCGAGGGAGTCAGAGCCTGGGAGCACCGGGAGTTCAAGGGGAGCTTCAAGAGAGGGATGATGGAAATGGGGAGTTTCAAGAAGGCGAGGTTGGATCAGACCTGTGGGGAAGGGCTGCAAGGGTTGAAAGCAGATATTCTTCCCAGGAGAAAAGCAGCAGCAGCAGCTTTCAGGCGTCCCCTGGTAGGTTCCTATACTCTGCTTCTGTTAGAGAGCTGCGCACCACCAGCAGCGGCTTCGGCAACAGCAGCAGTATCTTCGGCTCCAGTAGCAGCGTCGGCAACAGCGACATCGGCAGAAGCATTATCGGCGGCGTTGGCAGCAGCAGCAGCCGCTTCGGCCCGCGCGGGTTTGCAGCAGAGCGAGACATCGGGTCGTTTGCTGACGTGGACAGCGACACCATGGCACGGCTGGCGCGTGACGCAGCATCCCTGCTGGCACTCGATCTAACCACAAACGACCTATCTGCACCTGCCCCCTCCTCCTCCTCTCGCCCCAGCAGCCCGTTTTCCGGCCCGCTTTCCAGCCTGCTCCGCCGGTCCAAAACCCCCCCTCGCTCCCCCAACCAGACCCCCCCACGCACCCCCCCGCGCTCCCCCTCCCACACCCCCACCCACACCCCTCCCCGCACGCCCCCCGGCGGGGCTAGTCCAAACCGGTTCTTAGATAAGTGCAGGAGCGCGAGACTTGACCGGCCTAGTAGTCCTCTCAGGTTTGATCGGCCTGGGAGTCCCCTGAAGGGGGTGTGGGGTGTGTTAACGGGCCAGGGCGACGGGGGGAAAAGCGGGTGGGAGAGGATTGATGTCGATGCTGTGGTGGCTAGTGCTGCTGCTGCTGCTGCTTCTTCTACAGTAGTTGGTGGTGCTGCTGGTGCAGTTGATAGGTTTGTGCTGATGAGAGCAAAGACTGATAGCAGGGGGATGGATGATGGGGATGGGGATGGAGGGGGGTTTGGCGGGTTGTGGAGAGGGAGCGGGATGGGGGTGGGGATGGGGACGGGGGTGGGAGTGGGAGGGGGGCCGGAAGTGACTGCTTCTTGGAGAGAGAGGGTGAGCATGGCAGCATCACCCATGGGAAACGATGGAGGCGAGGGAGGTGCGGGGGAAGGAGGGTGGCGCGAAGGAGGAGGAGGAGTTGACGGAGGGGTTGAAGGGAACTGGCTAGCAAGAGAAGGAGCAGCAGTTGCAGCGACAGAAGTAGTAGCAGGGGGCATGGTTCAGAGAGAAGATACAGTAGAGGAAATGAGAGGAGGAGGGGGAGGGGGAACACCAGTAGCAGCAGCAGGGGCAAGTACAATGAGGGGAGGAGGAGCAGAGGCAGCAGCAGTAGACAAGGAAGCAGCACTGGAAAACGCGTGGATGATGGCGGAAGGGGAAGAGGAAGAAGAAACTCCAGATTTTGACGATTTCAGCCGCACACGAACCTTCACCTCTGCCATCCTAGCCGGAATCACCAAGAGAGTCACCGGGCCTAAGGCTGGGCCTGCCAAGCCTGGAGCCACCAAGCCTGGGTTCGCCATGCCTGGGCTTGGCAAGAGGGAGGATCCGGGTAGTAGCAGCAAGACGGTGGTTCCGAGGACTGTTAGTGATATGCTCAAGGATGCGGCAAAGGAGGGAATGGTGAAGGGCGAGGGGAAGCAGGGCAAGTGGTGGGCTTTCAGGGAGAAAGGGGAAGAGAGCGGTAGGGTGTTAGGGGGGCCTGGATGGGGTATTCTGGCCTCCAAGCCGAGACCAGGGGAGGAGGGAGGGGGTTTAAAGGGTGCACCTGCACTGGAGGCACATGGTCTAGGTGGGTCAGGTAGGTTAGGTGGGCACAATGGGGATAGTAAGGACGAGGAGGAGAAGGAGCGGGGCGGACTGTTTGGTTCCGCTCATACCCAACACCACCACGACTCGCGGCAGAAGTCGCAGATTTCGTTTGGGTCTGTTGCTGATTCTGCTCTGCTGTCTGGCCTGCCTTCGTTCCTTAAGTCGGTCACTTTCACCTCTGCTGAAGCCCAGGCGCACCACAAGCAGCAGCAGCAGCAAGAGGAGGAGGGGGAGGATCAGCTGCGGATGCAGCAGGGGGATGAGATGCCGGCAGAGTTATCAAGTCATGCACAGGAGATTGAGACACATGGGGGACCGTACGAGTCGTATGAATCGCGGGAACACACACAACAGCACAGAGAAGCAGATGAGGAGGAGAACCCTGAAGAGCAGCAGCAGCAGCAGCAGCAGCAGCATAGGCCGTGGGGGTCTGCTGTGGGGTGCAGCCCGGTGGAGGAGGGTACAGCACGGTACCCTGCAAATCAGCAGCACAGCGATGGCTTGTGGGGCAGCAGTGGGGTGCACTGGAGGAGCAGTGGCAGTGCGGTGGAACGGCTGAGGGACGAGGCTGGCTGTGCTGCTTCCGACCCCAGCAGGGGTAGGAGCCTTTCCCGAATGCGCCCTGGTGTCAGTGCCTCTTTCTCTGGTCGTCTGCCTGCTGCTGCTACTGGTACTGCTGCTGCTGCTTCTGCTGCTAATGTTCCAACTACCACTACTGGTGATGGTGCAACTACCCCCATTGGTAATGGCGCAACGACCCCGACTGGTGGTGATGCGTCTGGCCCTGCTATCAGCCCTGTTGTCACTCCACGTGTTGCCTACTTCTCCTTCGACAAGTACCGCGAGGCTGTAGCAGGGGGAGGCTCGTCCGGGGGAGGTGCATCTGCAGAGGAGCGCGATGCGGAGGGGTACCTGCTATCTCACTCCTTTGGCAGCGGCAGGGCTAGAAGCAGGAGCAGCTTCAGCGGCAGATACGGCAGCAGCATTGGCGGTGGTGGTGGTAGCGGGAGTTTGACTCCCCCTCCTAGAGGAGCATTGGGGAAGAGTGGCAGCAGTTGCTTGACCCCTCCTTCTGGCGCACTGGGTAAGAATGGCAGCGGTAATTTGACCCTTCCTTCTGGTGCGTTGGGTAAGAGTGGGAGTGGCAGCCTTACGCCTCCTGGAAATATGTTTAGTCGCGGTGGCATGGGGAATGGGAGCGTGACCCCTCCAGGAAATATGTTCAGCAGGAGCGGCAGCAGGAGAGGGTTCACTCCGTCAGCAGGGGACATGTCTAGTCGGAGGCAAGCAGGAGACTGGACTTCACCGGGGGGAAGCAACCACAGCAACCACAGCAACCACAGCACCCACAGCAACCACAGCAACTACAACCAGAGGAACGCCTGTGTTCGTAGCCACAGCCATAGCCACAGCCATAGCCACAGCCATAGCCACAGCCACCAGGAGCAGGAGATTCACACCACGAGCAGCCACTCCCACCTGCAGCGAGGGTTTCCCCACGTGCGTGGGGGCGTTGAGCGAGTGGCCTCGGATTGTGCGGCAGACAAGAGAGCGAGGGAACGAGAAGCAGATAGATGGAACGAGGCAGAGCAAGGGGATGGTGTGCGAGGGCGAGTAGGGTCAGGCCGCATGAGTGGAGAGGGGGAGGGGGTGCTTCTGACTGCCAGTCTGGGAAGGCGGGTTGGGGAAGGGCAAGGGGGTTTGCGTGGGTCGCGGCTGGGGAAGGGTGGTAGGGGCGACAAGGCGGCAGTGAGAGGGGTGGAGGAGGGTGAGAGAGAGGAGGGGGAGGAGGAGGAGGTGGGGAGTTGTGGTTCCTGTGCAAGCAGGGTGGCGGATGGAGCGTCGGGTGGGGCACGGCCAAAGTACGACAGGAAGGCCAGGTCAGTATTGCTGGCAGGCATGCAAGCATGGGGTCTGGTTTTCAAGTTATGGCACTCCACACCCGAGTGCCAGCGGCGTCTTAGTGCTTTTTATGCGTCTCAAAAGTCACCCACTTTCTGTTTCCTCCGACCAGGAGTCGCACCTTTCGGTAATCCAGAAGAGCCAAGCGTTAGGGGTTATGCTTTAGGGTTTCGGATAGTGTTTTAGGGTTCTAGGGTAGAGACATGCGATTGCACTCCACACCTGAGCGGCAGCGGCCTCTGGAGCGTCCGGCAACCTCATCTGCTGCAGCAGGGGTTGGCAGGCCCCCCATCCACCACGCCCACTCCGCCTCTCTGGCTGCTCGTTCTGCTTTTTATTTGTGCAACTCCCCTTCCTTCCTCTCTCTTCTACCCACCGCCCCCGACACCAGGAGTCGCACCTTTGGCAATCCAGAAGAGCTCGTGGACCTCTACCCTCCCCCCGGCGCCTTCGAGCGGTCCCACTCCACACCCGAGCGGCGGCGGCCTCTTGATCGCCCAGCAACCTCCTCTGCTGCAGCAGGGGCTGGGAGACCTCCCATCCACCACGCCCACTCCGCCTCTCTGGCTGCTCGCTCCCTGGTGAACGGGCATGGGAGTGGGCAGAGGCTGAGAGGAGGTGAGTCCGGGCGGATTGGAGGGAGCAGATTGTCTGGGAAACAGCAGAGGAACCAGGGGTGGGACGAGCAGCAGGGGCGGTATGGGGAGGAGCATGAGCACAAGCAGGGGTATGAGGAGCAGCAGTATGAGCAGAACTATCAGCCGCAGCAAGTGCAGGAGAAGAAACAGCAGAAGGGGCGTAAGGAGTCGGGGGCAGCGCTGCATGTGGCGTGGAGGCAGTTGGAAGGGGAGGAGGAGGAGGAGGAGGAAGAGTGGGATAGGCAGAATTCAGATCCTGTGGCAGGCGGCAGGGGGAGGGTGAAGGCTGTAAGGAAGCTAGTGGAGGACGAGGAGAATGGAGAGTGGGGACGGCAGAACTCAGATCCTGTGACAAGCGGCAGGGGGAGAGTGAAGGCTGTAAGGAGGCAAGTTCGGGAGGAGGAGGATGGAGAGTGGGGCAGGCAGAATTCAGATCCTGTAAAAGGGAGCAGGGAGAGGGTGAGGGCTGGAGGGAGGCACGTGGAGAATGAGGAGGATGGGGAGGATGGAGAATGGGGACGGCAGCACTCAGAACCTGCGAAACCCGGCAGGGAGAGGGTTAAGGCTGGAAAGGGGCACGTGGAGAACGAGGAGGATGGGAGTGATGGAGAATGGGGACGGCGGCACTCAGAACCTGTGAAAGGCGGCAGGGAGAGGGTGAAGGTGGGAAGGGGGGACGAGGAGGTTGAGGAGGAGAGAGAGTGGGATTCTGTGGAAGGCGGCCGGTCTGTGAATGCTGGATGGAGGCATGAGGAGGCCGATGAGGAGGAAGGAGAATGGGCTGAGGAGGACGGAAAGTGGGGCAGGCAGACGCACTGGAATTGTGTGAAAGATGGCAGGGAGAGGGAGAAGGCGGGACGGAGGCAAGTGGAGGAGAGGGAGATGATTGGATACGGTGGGGATGGTTATGAGGAGAACACAGAGGAGGAAGAGGAAGAGGCAGGGGATGGGGAAGAGGTGGAGGAAGAGGAGGAGGATGATGAAGAGGAGGAGGAGGAGGATGGGGAAGAGGTGGTGGAGAGTGGACAAACGAGATGGTCCAGAGATCGTGGTACAAGCTCAGGGAAAGGGACTGGGGTCAAATCTGGGGAAGGGAGAGCAGGGACAAAATCTGAGAATAAGCCTTCGTACAGGTGCGACAGTGGACGGGGAAAGGTCGATGGAAGAAACAGTGGGAGTGAGGGCGAGGAGGAGCAAGGGGGGAGGAAATTTACTTATGAGAAGGAGCGTTCGCGAGGAAAGGGGAGAGGAGGGAGGGGGTGGGAAGGAGGCAGTGGTGGTTATGGGGAGAGGCGGCAGCAATGGCATGACAGTCAAGATCGGAATGAGGAGGAAGGGGAGGGCATGGAGGAGGAGGGAGAGGGGGAAGGGAGTGCTAACGAGGATAGTAAGGAGTGGAGTGAGTGTGAGGATAGTGAGGTGGAGAACGGGGATGGTGAAGGGAGTGGGGAAGTGGTGAGTGGAGATGAGGAGGAGAGTGCACAGCATGCAGTACGCAGAAAGAGCGGAGAGGAACACGAGGAACAGTACAGCCACAGAGGCGGGGACAGAGATGGGGACAGGAAGAAACCGTCGCAAAGGAGCAGTGGTCGGCAGCAGCAGAATGCATGGGGGCTTGCAGAGAGGTGTAACGGAGAAAAGGAAGGCATGCACAGCAGGTACAAAGGGGAGGGGGATGAAGTGTATAGAAGAAATGGGGAAGAAGTACCGATATATGGGAGTGATGTGTACGATAGGGGCTATGGAGGCATGAGGGGAGGTGAGGTGGAAGATGGGGGTGGATACAGAAAGGGCCGCTCTAGTAACGAGAAGTACACTCATCAGGAAGACGAGAGGGGTGCAGCGAGGAATAGTGGTGCACGCCACTCACGCACTTCCAGCTGCTTGGACCAGAAGAGTCAGGAGGGCGAGAGAAATGCAGCAAGGGGTGGTGGTAGTAATAGTGGTGCACACCACTCGCGCACTTCCAGCTGCTTGGACCAGAAGAGTCAAGAGGGCGAGAGAAGTGCAGCAAGGGTTAGTGGTAGTGGTAGTGGTGCACGCCACTCCCGCACTTCCAGCTGGTTGGACCAGAAGAGCCACTCTCACCGGCCCGGTCGATAGTGGCAGCAGCAGCAGCAGCAGCAGGAGTGGTGCTTACCAGGAGGGCGACAGAAGTGCAGCAAGGGGTGGTGGTAGTGGTGGTGGTGCATGCCACCCTGGCACTTCCAGCTGGTTGGACCAGAAGAGCCGCTCTCACCAGCCTGGGCAATAGTGGGATGAGCAGGAGCAACGCAGGGCCATCCACTAATCTTGTGCTCTCTCCGACCGTTAATAAAACCAATCTTTCCAGCAGCAGCTGCTTCTCGAGGCGTCCATGCCTCTCTGGGTACGTCATTTCTAACAAGCACACCTTGATTTATGCTATTGATGCTCCGTGGTGCACAAGCATGCTCCCAGCATCTTGAACGTGTTGTATGTATTGGTTATTGTAGGGATGTGGCATGACGGTGTCTTTAAGGAAATCATTCCTGCCCCTGGCGCACTGTGCCATTACGGTGTACATATATCCATTTACGGTATGATTATACGGTAGCTTGGCTTCTGCTGTGCCTCCTGGTTTTGTAGGAACCCTGAACCTGCATTGGCAGAAATCAGATGTCATCGACTGTGCAGTGCAGTGCATCGCTAGCAAACGCATTATCTCTCTCAAAGTTTGATTCATTTGATGTTCTCAGTGTTGGGCTGAGACGCCCTAGGATCTTTGTAGAGTTAAAGTCTGAGTAAAATGATGTAATAGCGGAAGCGTTTGAATAAAGTCCTTGAACCACCTTGCGCTAGTATGTGAGGGCAAAGTAAGTTGATTAAAACAAAGGGATACAAGAATATATACATATATATATATATATGAGTACAGAGAATATGAAGAGACATAATTGTAACTACTTTACTGTTGCGGTTCGATACAGTGCGACTCGGGCAACTGCTCAATGTCGAGTCAGCTGTATGTCCTTGCTGTCGCGCTGCATTTGTCAGGTCAAAGGTCGCTGACCTTTGACTTTTGCGTAACCTCCGGCGGTTACATCAACCTCCGAGGGTTGACTCGCTGGTGCTTCGATTGCGTTGCTTCGCTTGTGTCTTAGAGTTTCGACACGACAGAGGCGTTTAAGACTTATTTGTTCCCAACACTCCCCTTCGCTTCTGAAGTGTCGCTGATGGTGACGTGGCTTTGTCCAGTCAGCAGCATGCAGTACTCGAGCTTCTGTTTTCCGAGTTTCTTGGTCAAGTAGTCGGCTGCCATCTCGGACGTGGGACAGTAGGATAGTTCGAGTTTCCCTTCCTTGATCTCGTCTTTCACGAAGAAATATCGCAGAGCGATATGCTTCGTTCTGTTCGCGAATCCGCTCTTGTTGGCAATGCGAATCGCGGATTGGTTGTCGCAGAACAAAGTGAAGTTGGGTAACTCGGCTAACTTCGCTTCTTCCAACAGCTCGCGAAGATAGAGTCCTTCCTTGGTGGCTGAGCAGAGGGCGATATATTCTGCTTCAGCTGAAGAGAGAGCGATTAGTTCCTGCTTGCTCGATTGCCAGGAGATAGGTCCGATAGGTTCGAGGCGGTAGATGTAGCCAGTGCGGGAGCGCCTGTTGTCCGAGTCGCCGGCGTGATCGGCATCGACGTAGCCAATTAGTTTCGTCGGTGTAGTTGTAGTCTTGTGATATGTCATACCGATCGTTGAGGTGCTTACGAAGTAGTGTAGTGCGCGGTCGAGCTCCGCCAGGTGTTCTGTTTCGGGTCTCTTGAGGTAGGTGGCGAGTTGACTTGCGGAGTAGGACAGATCTGGGCGGCAGGTAACGGCTGCAAAGAGAAGGCAGCCCAGCTTTCTCTGGTAGTCGCGTATTCCGGCGGTTTTGAGTAGAGCGGAACTTCCCTTGTCGTTCCCTGCCGTGTAGCGGTATGGCGTGGAGATAGTGGTAGGTGTGAGCGCGAAGCGTTTGGCGATAGTGTCGGCATACTTTTCGGCGCTGAGGTAGATCGCGTTCTCTTCTTCGCGGATGTTGAGTCCGAGGTACTGAGTGACGGTAGAGGAGACCGTGAGTGTGAGGTCCCTCTGTAGCTCCCCTTCGAACCAGGTGGTGATGTCATCAGTGGAGCCAATGTAGAGTAGGTCGTCGACGTAGACGATCAGCAGGATATAGTCGGCGTTTTTGGTGAGTCGATACATCCCTTGGTCGTAAGGCAGTTGGCGGAATCCGATGCGAGTGAGACGAGTGTGTAGGTGCTGTTGCCACAGCCGCGGGGCTTGTTTGATTCCGTAGAGCGATTTCAGCAGCTGGCAAACCTGATTAGGTTCCCCGTGGGTACCGTGTCGGAGCTCGACGAAGATTTCGGCGTCGACGGGTGCGTAGAGGAATGCGTTGGCGACATCGATTTGTCAAACATTTATATGTTTGTGTGGTTCTAGGCTGTAGTGGGTCACACCATAAGGGGTACACCAGATTAGGGTTTGACATATTTGTACTGTTGTTCCTGCTAGTCACTCATCATTCTCGTTTCTCATTCTGACATGGTATTACGAGCCTAGGTTCCACCTAGGACCGAAACGATAGGGCCCACCGTTTCCGCTAGCCGCGCCCTCGTGCGCCGCCGTTCTTTTTTCCTGCGCCTCGAGCGCCTCCTTCTCAAGGCCCCGTATGGCCCCGCGCTAGCCTCTCACGGCCCCCGATCGGCCCCGCGCTAGCCTCCTCAGGCCCCCGTCGGCCCCGCGCTAGCCTCCTAAGCCCCCGTCGGCCCCACGCTAGCCCCGCGCTAGCCTCCTAAGGCCCCCGATCGGCCCCCCGCTAGCCTCCTAAGGCCCCCGTCGGCCCCGCGCTAGCCTCCCACGGCCCCTGTAGGCCCCGCGCTAGCCTCTCACGGCCCCTTAAGGCCCCACGCTAGCCTCCCACGTCCCCTGCAGGCCCCGCGCTAGCCTCTCACGGCCCCCGACCGGCTCTCCCGCGCTCGCCCCCCCCCTACGACCGAGCCGCAAGGCGCGACCCGAACCGAACCGCGCGACCCAGCCGAGCCGCGCCGCCCCAGCCGAGCCGCGCCGCCCTAGCCGAGTCGCGCCGCCCTAGCCGAGTCGCGCCGCCCTAGCCGAGCCGCGCCGCCCCAGCCGAGCCGCGCCCTACTTACCTGTGCACAGCACTGCTACTGCTACTGCTACTGCTACTGCTACTACCACCACTGCTGCTACTGCTACTTCAACTATGGCTAGCCCTACAGTTCTCTCGTTCGATTCTGAGGGCCGCCCGATTAAGTTTGATACCTGGCTCGATGATCTGCACCTGTTCCTCCAGCTCACTGCTAGAGAGGATATCTCGCTGTACGATCACGCACTAGGCACAGTCCCTGCTCCTGCTACTACTACTACCGCTACTGCTCGCTCGCAGTGGCAGACTCGCGATGCCCACGCCCGCTTTGCCATTCGCAACTCCCTGCCAGTCGATGAGCGTGAGCACTTCGGCCAGCATCAGACTGCGCAGGCCCTGTACACTGCTGTAGTTGCGCGCTACTCCTCCCCGGCCTCAGCTGCACTAGGCCGTCTCTCCCTTCCCTACCTGTTCCCCGACCTGTCCGCTTTCCAGACAGTCGCTGACCTCATCACTCACCTCCGTACTAGTGATGCCCGCTTCCGTGCAGCCATGCCCGCTGAGTTTCTTGCCTCCAACCCTCCCCCGCTCTGGCTCACTCTCTACCACCTAGTCACCCGCCTCCCTGACACTCTGCGTACAGTCAGGGACCACTTCCTAGCTCGCTGTCCCACTGAGCTCACCATTGCCGCCCTAGAGAAGGAACTACTTGCAGCTGAGAAGAGTATTGTAGCTGTAGGTGCCTCTCGTGGCGACCCCCGCACCCCTTTCTTCGAGGGGTGTTCCCCCTCCCCCCTCCTCCCCTCTGTCGCCTCTGCTGCTGCTGTCGACCTTCTTGGTGCTGAGCAGGTCGGCTCTGCGTCCGCTCCCAGCGGGCGCCGCAGCGGCAAGGGCAGGGGAGGCAAGGGCGGTGGGGGTGACGGCGGGGGAGGTGGTGGTGGGGGTGGTGGCAACGGCGGGGGCGGTGGCGGGGCTGGAGGGGCTAGTGGCAACGGTGGGGGTGGTGGAGGCAGCGGCGGCGGCGGTGGCCGCGGTGGGGGCGGTGGTGGTGGCGGCAGTGGACGTGGCGGCGGCAGGGGCGGTGGTGGTCGTGGTGGAGGCGGCGGTGGTGGTCGTGGAGGCTCTGGCACTGGCCAGAGTGCGCAGCACCCTCAGTCCTCCCAGGAGCTTCGTGAGTGGTACTTACAGCACGGGGGTGGGGGGGGTAGCCTTAGCTGCACGTACGTCATCCGCACTGGTCGCCGCACGGGACAGACGTGCGGAAGGGCGCACACTTCGCAGCGCTGCTTCTCTCGCCTAGATGACGCTTGGCGTGCTCAGTTTCCTGACGCTCCTGAGCTCCCTCAGTGGGCTGATCTCCTCAAGAAGGATATCGATATCTATGCTCTTGATTTTGATGTTATTCTCAAAGCAATGTATGCATTGACTATTAGTGGAGAGGAGGACCAGTACCTGAGTGTTCCGCCTGACCCAGGCATCCGCACGAGTGAGGCTGCCGCCCTAGGTACTTGCGTGTCTGCTACCCCAGGTACTGGTGAGGCTACTGCTCTAGGTGCGTGTGTGTCCGCCACCCCAGGTGCTACTGAGTCCACTGAGGCACTGCACACCTTCACTCTAGACTCAGGCGCTTCGCGCTGTTTCTTTCGTGACCGCACTGCTCTTGAGCCCCTTGCTCGACCAGTTGCTGTCTCGCTCGCTGACCCCTCTGGGGGTCCGGTCATTGCGACCTCCTCCACCCTCCTTCCTTGTCCTGCTGTCCCGTCGGGCACACTGTCAGGTCTCCACCTCCCCTCGTTCTCTACGAACTTGGTGGCGGGCTGTGCGCTCCAGGATGGGGGTGTTCACCAGTTCACCCCTGCCTACGAGCGTGTGACACACTGCACGTGTGCTCGGACGGGCCGTCACCTGGCTACCTTCACTCGGCAGCCGGGGTCGGACCTGTACACACTGACCACTGAGTCCCCTCAGGTAGCGGCGTCTGCGTCTGCGTCTGCG